AACGCCCCAGAACGACCTGTGAAAATCATAGCACAAAAAAAGCCTAAAGCTTTGGACAGTGCCTTCCCGTCCATTCTGAAGTGGCCCAATTTTAACACAAAGTTCAAAGTAAAAAAATAAGCTGGAAAAATAAGTAATTAATAAAAAATAATTGACCATAAAAGGCTACTACCATAGCAGTGAAGAAGAGAACATAAACTCAGAAGGAGAAAACAGTGTAAAAACAGCTACAAACAAAGCCTCAAAGAAAAATAATAAGTCTACCTTAACCCAACAAAAATTCTTGGAAGCATTAAAGAGATAGATAAGGGTAGTAAAGGGGAAAAAATGGGAAAAGAAATGAGAGTGATGCTTGAACATTTCAAGAATTAATAGCTTGGTAAAAGAGGCACAAACAATATTGAAGAAGATAATAATTTAAAAAACAGAACTGGCCTAATGGTAAAAGAGACACAACAATTCACTGAAAAAAAGAACTCCTTAAAAAGCAGAACAGGCCAAATGGAAAATAAGATACAAACATTCGCTGAATAAAAGAACTGAAAAAACCATAATTGGCCAAGTGGAAAAAGAGATTCAAATCTCACTGAAGAAAGTAATTCCTTAAAAATTATGATTGGCCTAGTGGAAGGTAATGACTTCATAAGACCCCTAAGAAATAACAATACAAAGTAAAAAGAATGGGAAAAAAAATATAAAAAAATGTGAAATGTCTTAAAAACAACTGACCTGGAAAATTGATCAAGGAGAAAAGCCCTGATCAAAGAAAGAGCCTAGGCATGATATTTCAAGAAATTGTCAAGGAAGACTGCCATGATACCTTAGATCCAGAGGGTAAAATGAAATTGAAATAATCACCTCCTGAAAGAGTTTCTAAAATGAAAGCTCCTAGAAGTTTCACCAAATTCCAAAGATCTCTGAGTTCTAGAGTTCTCAGAGAACCCAAAAGACAATAATGAGAGCAGTCAGAAAGAAAAAAAAACCAAATATTGTGCTGCCACAGTCAGGATAACATAAGATTTAACAACTGCTTCATTAAAGGAGCAAAGGGCTTGGAATATGATATTCCATAAGGCAAAGGAGCTGGGATTTCAACTAAGAAAAACCTACCCAGCAAAAATGATTATAATCCTTCAGGGGGAGATGGACATTTAATGAAACTGAGGAATTTCAAATATTGCTGATGTAAAGACCAGAGCTGAAAAAAATATTTGACATTCAAACAGAAGACTCAAGAAAAACATAAAAAGGTAAACACAAAAGGGTAATTATAAGGGACTAAATAAAATTAAATTATTTATATTCCTATATGGGAAGATGTTACATATAGATCCCAAGAACTTTAATGTTATTAGAGTAGTTAGAAAGAGTCTACAAAAACAGAGGGCATGGATGTGAGTCAATCATGTTAGGATGATCTCAGAAAATGAACTGGTGAGAAAGAGGGAGGCACTGGGAGAAGGGGGAAGGGAGAGGTAGTATAAGGAAAAAGGGGTTCACAGAATATCTTTTATAGTGGAGGGGAAAATGGAGGAGGGGAAATGATAGGTAATGCTTGAACTTCACTCTCATTGGAATTTGTTTGAAGAGGGAAGTATACAAACACACACACACAGACAAAGAGTCATCTGTGCATGTAAATGTGACTTACCCAATAGGTAAATTGGAAGGGAAGGGGATTAGAGGAAATGAAAAAAAAGAGGACAGATTAAGGGAAACAGTGAGGAGGGTCAAGGGGGAGAGAGAGACAGAAGGACAGACAGAAGCCAATGGGGTGGAGGAAAATATACAGTTAGTAATTATAACTGTGAATATGAATGGGATGAGATCTCCCACAAAACTAAAGCAGGTAACAGAATGTATAATTAACTAGAATCCAACAATATGCTCTTTACAAGAGTCATAGCTAAAACAGAAAGATACTCAGAGTTAATATAAAGGGCTGGAGCAGAATCTAGTATGCTTCAGCTGATTTTAAAAAAGGTAGAGGTAGCAATCAGGATTTCAGACAAAGCAAAAATAGACCTAATTAAAAGAGATAATCAGGTAAATTCCATTTCCCTAAAAAGTACCAGAGACAATGAAGTGGTATCAAACATTTTTAAAGCATGATTTTCTGATAAAGTCCTCATTTCTCAAACATACACTGAGTACAGAACTGACTTAATTTTTTTTAAAAATAGGAGTCATTTCCAAATTGATAAATCGTCAAAGGATATAAACATGCAGTTTTCAGAAAAAAATCAGTCATCTATAGTTGTATGAAAAAAATTCTCAAATCACTGTTCATTAGAGAAATGCTGGAAGGAATATGGGAAAAATAGGTAACAAATGAATTGTTGGTGGAGTTGTGAATTGTTCCAAATATTTTACAGAACAATTTGGAGCTATGCCTGAAGGGCTATAAAACTGCATATACCCTTTGACCCAGCAATACTACTTCTAGGTCTTTATCCCAAAGAGGTCATAAAAATGGGAAAAGGACCCACATATACACAAATATTTACAGCAGCTCTTTTGGTGGTGGCAAAGAATTGGAATTGAGGGGATGCCCATCAATTGGGGAATGGCTGAGCAAGTTGTGGCATATGATTGTGATGGAGTAATATTGTACAGTTGGAAGTGACAAGAGGGGTAGTTTTAGAAAAAATACATTGCAAGACCTGTATGAACTACTACAAAGTGAAATGAGAAGTTTTTTCTTGTACACAGTAACAACAATGTTATAATGATGATCTACTGTGAAGACTTGGCTTCTCTGATAAATACAAAAATCCAAGATGATTCGAAAGGACTCATAATGAGAAAATGCTATCCACCTCCAGAGAGAGAACTGTTGAATTTTGAGTAAAAAATCAAGTAAAAATTTCTTACTTTCTTTATTTTTCTTGTTTTTTTTTTAAAATGACTAATGTGGAAATGTTTTTCATAGTTTCACACATATAGTTGACATGTTTTCTCGGGGGTAGGGAAAGGATTTGGAGGGAGAGTGAGAATTTGGAGCTAAAAATTAAAAAATCAAACAATGTTTAAAATAACAAATTTTTAAAAATTTTAAAAATCATTTCAAAATTTCTCAAGAGTCTCAAAAAATCAGACTGTCTTACTGATCCTTTGAAGCCAATTGTATAAGCTGTGCTTGTCTGTTATTGTTGAGACAAGTGGTGTTTGGGGATTCAAATGCTTTCATTTCTTCTTTAATTCAAGCAATGTTATTTGGGTGATTTTGATGTAGCTATTCCCAGAGATTTAAACCCTGCTTTGTATCTTTCTTTCTAAAAATTATGTTTAATTCCTACTGAAAGGGAAGCTCATTTCCTCTTGATTCTCAACTTTGGAGTCCTGAGAGGGGACAGAGATGGTGCCCAGCCCAGGTCTACTTGTACATGGATAACAAAAACCTCTTTTGATGATACTGTCCATTTGTCAACAGCTGGGACCTGAGTTGTTCATGTTTTTAAGCTCCCGACTCTCCACTAAACTAAATCCCATGAGTCCATATCACCTCATTTTAGAAGAATGATTGGATGTCAATTCATTCATTTCATTAAGACCATTTACAATGTGGTCGTATGTACCATGAAACCTTTCTGGTGGGTCCCTTTCTCCTCATACGTTCAGCTTCAAGTAGATTGTTTTTTTTTTCTTTCAGACCAAATGCAAGCTCATTCTTCCACACTTCCATTTCACCTTTACTGTGAAGTTGATTGTACTCACATTATCTATGATACCCTGAATAAATATAAAGTGGCAGTCTGTGGGAAACATCACTGTACTCCTTTAACTTTTATTCTCTCTTTGAGCAGTGATTAAGGATGTCCTCAGCCTTCTAGGACTCTGTCTTCTCCAGGAAAAAATGTCCCGAATATATCAGAGTTTATCATCCTTCCAAGGCACTTGTGTTATTTCCCTGACCAGGCATTGACTTTAATGACACTGAGAGAGTGTCAGTTATTGTGGTAATCAACCACCCTGGAGTCCAGAGAGATCTATAGTGGAAGCACTTCTACCTCTATGACCTTGGGCAAGTCCATTAACTCTTCAAAGCCTGTTTCCCTAAGACTCAAAAGTAATGATGCTTGCCCTGCTGACCCCACAGGGTGTTTTAAAAGAAACTGTTCTGCAAACCTTAACATGCTACATATGTATGTATGTATGCATGTATGTATATACATATCCGAGCTAGTGTTCTCGTTATACGATGCTCAGGCCCCATGCCGAGCCATCATTTTCTTTTCACATATACCCTCACTAACTGGCACTACAGTACAGACCATCAGTAAAAGTACATCACTGAAAGTTATTCCATATTCAGTGGCAGCAAGCCATCCTCTTCTCCATGAGCCCCCATTGTTCAGCCAATGATAACACCCTTGCATTTGGCCCATGTCTTACATGACGTCAGTTGGATTGGTATGGAGCCCAGCTGTGCTGCACATTGTATGAAAGAAGGTGAAGACAGCCTGGTGCTTTACTTATGGGTGATATATTCAGGGTCCCAAGCACTGGACATGGGATGAGAAGATTTGAGTTTTCATGTGGGCTCTGCTGCTGCCTTCCTGGATGACCCTGAACAAATCACTAACCCACCTTGTGCCTCACTTTTCTCATCTACGAAATGAAGGCATTGAGCTCAACAGTTTCTAAGGAAGCATCTTTTGGTTCTGAAAGTCTGTGATTCTGTCCAGGCACTGACACATGCTTGCTGTGTGACCTTGGGCAAGGCTCAGGTCTTAGCTTCAGTTTTCTCTTCTGTAAAATCAGGGACATGAGAATCAATCATCTCAAAGTTTCCTCCCAACGGTAAATCGTGTGATTCAATGAGCATACTTTTTGGCTGGTTTATTACAGTATGTTTCCTTCTATTTAAGTAATTTCTGTTACTGATCTTAGATCTTTTGCTTTCCAAACTACCTTCCTAAAAGCAAGTTATGTGTCCTGCAGGTAAAAGCTGATGTATGCAGGAAAGGGGCCAATTGCACCAGTCATCCAGGAAGCAGCAGGGCTGGGGCAGCCGGGGAGGAGCTGTGAGTCAGCACACCAGGATGGGAGCTGCTTTGGTGACTGGGCCAGCAGGTTGGACAGGGCAACATGCTTGCAATTGACTTGCTACTGCAACCTTAGCTGGGACCATCAGCCTTGCTTCAAGGCCAGAATGGGAGCCTCAATGTGGATAAGAAGTGTGCAAGACTTTGTCATGGATGCATTTCAGGTCCTAGAATCAGGAAGACCTGGGTTACAATCTCCCTCTGATGCTTACTGGCTGTGGAGCCATGGGCAAGTCATGCGATGCCTCTCTGTCTCAAGTATGCTCTGAGGACTTATCTAGGTGGGCTTCCGCAAAAGCACACATCCTCCAACTACTGATGTGCAACATGCAGCATCGTGCTGACTCCCTGACACCAATCCTCATGGACAATGAGCTCAGCTGAGCCTCATGTCTAAACAACATAAACCCTGTATCTCTTCAAGGTGAAGAAAATCTATTCCAAGTCTTCTTCAACCAAGAAAAGCTGGATGCCTGACCTGGGATGAGCATTTTGTAACCTTTGTGAAATACTTCCCCATCAAAGAGCTCATTCAAAGCTCCATGAAACAGGGAAAGGTGATAATGTTATGCCCATTTCACATATGAGAAAGCCAAGCCACAGAATGAGAAAATGTCTTGTGAAGTCACCCAGCTAGTTAGTGACAATGAGGACTCAACAATTTCCAGTGTGTAATGTTTTGAGTTCTATGTGCCAGGGCAAAAGATTCTAAGTACACAGGAAGCCTGACCAGCCTGGCTTAGGGCAGGTGGTGTTCATTTTGGTTCTGTGATTCCTGGGCATTGGGATCACAGGGCATAGGGTTGTGTGTTGGTATTACTTTGCTGTAGAATGTCCTGGTCAGGCCTGTTAACTGGGCAAGAGACAGCCCAGAGATGAATTTTCCCTTTATCTTAGGATGAAGCGCACAAACAATGAATGTGAGAGAGTCTCATCTCTAAAATATGGAAGCTATCTTACAAACAATCAGAAACTGAAACTCCTGATTTGGTAATGGGCCAGTATAGCCTAATGGTTGAAGGTTGGACTTGAAGCTAGGACCAACTAGGTTAGCTCTCACTGTTGCCCCCTTCGAGTCCTGGGAACCCAAGCAAAGACAGTCACTTAATCTCTGAGATTAAGGCTAAGTTATAGATGGTTAGATATTATAAACTTGCAAATCACTGCTTTGAAGTAGGTGCCAGCTGCTGATACACCAGGCTAGGAATTTGCAAACTGTTACCCTATTCTGCCTATGTCAAAACCTCCTTATACCAACCTTGCCCACATCATAAAAGTACCAATGATGACCACAGCAAACGTTTACAAAATGTTCTCTCCACAACAGTGGGAGGACCATGATCCTCCCCCCCACTTTTTTTTTTTTTTTACAGGTGATGAAACTTAATCCTAAAGAAAGCATCTAAATGATCCAAGGCTCCTTGGTTAGTGAGTGTCAGCATCAGGACTTAATCTCACATCTTGACAAATCAAATACTCTGTTTCCCTCAAACAACTACAAGGGTCCTTAGTCCTATTTCATGTGTTCTGTGAATGGGGGGTCAGTGTGGGAAATTGACTAGGATTGAGAGTCAGGAGCTTGTGCCATGTTACTCAACTAAGAGTCTAGGGCTCTTAGGCTCAAAGCTCCTGCTGCCTCTTGTCTTTTAGAAGTGGCCTAGGGGAAGGGTACATGTAAAGGGACAAATGTTTTGAAGCACCTTCTATGTGCTAGGCACTCTTTTTAGTACTTTATAAATAGTTCATTTGATAACATGGCTCAATGATAAGCACATTGTCTCAGAGCCCCAACTTGTATTCTGACTAGCAATGGGATAGACTTTGGATACTTTAACCCCCATTCTCATCACCATGGCCCAGGGGGAATAGAAGGAAATGATCAGATGTGTGCTATCTGCCCCACCCAGGGCTACTGTGAAAAAAGTGCTGGTAGAAATCTATGTTATTTTTGTTGTTGGGTGAAAGATAAGGATGCACAGAGGAACCATTGCCTGAATCATTCCAGTCAAGCTATTCCACAGGTTCCAGCCCACCATCAGACAACATTGGCTTAACACTTAATACGTTTACTTCTTGCCTTTTCTCAGCTCATCTTGATCCAGTCAGCCTCCCCTACCCTGGGTTTTTAAACTTCCAGTCTCTTCTGAAACCCAACACAGTTAGCAAATACAGAAGGACTTTCATCAATCACGTGTCATTGACAGAGTGGGCAACTACATGGTACAGTGGAGAGAGTGCTGGGCCTCGAGTCAGGAAGACTTGTCTTTGTGAGTTCAAATCTGGCCTTAGACATTTCCCAGCTGTGTGACCCGGGGCAAGTCACTTAACCCTGTTTGCCTCAGTTTCTTCATCTGCAAAATGAGCCAGAGTAGGACACGGCAAAGCACTCCAGCATCTTTGCCAACAAAACCCAAAATGGCTCACAAAGAGTTGACATGACTGAAAATGATTGGTTTTCAATATTGTAACAACATTGATAAAGTAACCATCCAAACAATCTCAGTGTTCTGCAGCTGTATATGCCAAAGAATTGGTGCAAGCCCTTGCTCCCAGGGATTTGCAGCTAAGTCATCCCTAAGGGGTGGTCAACAGGTCAACAGGTCAGCCTGTATCAGCAGGTGCTCACACACCTGTTGTCTGGCAAATGAAGCAGAGAGGATTCCTGCTAGACTACAGTCGGTACCAGATGCTCTCCAAGGTCTCTTCTGATTCTGTGACATGAAAATGCTGACTTCATTGTCTCAGTGGAAACTTAGCTTGAAGGTCTGTCATTACTTTCAAGGTCAATAGGTTAGAAATATTTTTGTCTCTATGTCTCCTTTTCCTCTTTCTTTGATCTCTGTGGCAGTTTAGTATCTTTTTGAGCATAGATCCAAATTATTTTCCAGGCTAGCTGAACCTATTCACAGGTCCTTCAACATATGCATTAGTGTGTTTGTTTTCACACAGTCCCTCTAGCATTTGCCATCTTTCTCTTTCATTATCTTTGCCAGTGAGTATTGGCACCTCAGCATATCTTTCATTGTATTTCTTTAATTATTAATGCTTTGTAGCACTTTTTCATATAGCTGTTGATTTTTTTTTTCCTTTTGAAAAATACCTATTCATTTCCTTTGACCATTTACCATTTGGGAAATTTGAGAACCAGTAGAGCCACTAGAGTATTAGTGCCAAGCATTTATTGTTCCAATGGAATAAATATGTGGAATGTGGTCAATTGTTGGTGTTGGTCCTATTCCTCAAGAAGACTGGAAAGTCCTTGGGGTCAGGACCTTGGTCTTATTCTAAACTTTGTTTCTTCCATAGTGGGAAGCACTGATGTCTGTATTTGGTTCATACCTGATCCATGTCTATGGAAGAACTAGGTGGATGAATGGGATCCACCACAGTTCATTCATTTCCCATATGTAGGCACAACTAGTCATGAAATAGCTGTTTTCTCTTAACAACATTCAGTTAAATACTGTCCATTGGGTTTGAGAGTAATATTCTATGTGATATTCAATTCAATAAATATTCATGAAATATAAGGCTTTGGATGGTGTTCTGAAGGTTAACAAACATACAAAAAACCCAACACAGTCATACCCGACCTCATTTAACTTATAATCCTGAAGAGAGAGGAGATTGGACAGGACAGAGGCCTGCAATGATTACAGTCATGAATAGAAAGTAATAAAATTAAGGAAAGAGTAGGCCAAAATTTCATCAATATTTGTTGATTTTTTTTTTTTTGCTTGGTAACTGTTTGCTTATGTCCTATGACCCCTCACCCATTAGGGAATGAATAGTTTTGGTTTCACAAATTTGTTTTAGTTCTTTGTGTAGCCTGTATATCAGACCTTTATTAGGGCAATTTGGTACAAAGGTGTTTTCCCAAATCAAATTGTTTATTTATTATCCTAATTGCATTAATTTTCTTAGTGCAAATTCATTTGCAGGAAAAAAAGGTCCAAAATCTAACGGGAATGTTGAAAATACATAGGATTGGAGGGTGATAACATTTCCAGACTTTAAATTATAGTATAGGGCTGCAATGATCAAAACTCTGTGTCCTGGGTAAAACATAGAAAGTAAGCCAGTTGAATGCACTCAATAAGGATGAATCAGAAATAATTGAACCCAACTACTCAATGTTTCAAAGCCCTGATGACCTAGTTTACTTAGGAACGAGCTATCCAAACCTAATCTTATGTAGCTAGAACTACTGAAAAACCAGAAAGCAATTTGGCAGATATTGTGCTGACTAGCCTTTTGTTCCAGAAACATAATAATTTTAACATGGATTGCATATGCAGTCTCAATGTTGAAGATTAGGCTACAAAACAAAATAAATAAATAAATATAAGCAAATAAACAGGAGAATAAGATCAGGAGCCTCTCACAGCCAGTTGATTGTAAAGTGGAGAATGCTTAACTGAAGGAATTATAGAGGCAATCATGAAACAGCATATAGTTTTTAAAATTCTTTTTAATGAAAAAGCTGCTGTTTTTAAAAATTCTGTTCATGGATTTATTGATTTTGTTCATCTTTGCAAAAAACCAGCTTATATCCTACAATTTTCTGGACTTTTGGATTTCATATTTATCTTTATTTTATTTCCAAGGTTTTTTTCCTCTTTACTTATTTCATAATGCTTGTTTGTTGAGTTTGTATTTCAAAAAACATATACATTGGGTTTATTAATACTTTTTTTTCCTCTTTGGTATTTTGATCATGTACATTCTCAAGGAATTTTTGTTTTCTTCTGAGGACAGCTTTCACTGTTTCCTAGAAATACTGGTAGGTTTACTCTTAATTACCATTCTTTTTCACACATTTTTTGTTTCTAAAGGGCAGCTAAGTGGAACAGTAGATAGTGCAGCAATCCTAGAGTAAGGAAGACCTGAGTGCAAATACAGCCTCAGATCCTTACTAGCTGTGAGACCCTGGGCAAGTCACTTAACCATCTCCTCCTTAGTTTCCTCATCTATAAAATGAGCTAGAAAAGGAAATGACAAATCACTCTTTTATTTTTGTCAAGAAAA